GATTACCCTCTCCCCGCTCCGATCTGCCAGCGCTGACTGGAGGAACGGACGGGGAGGGGGCGGGTACAGCTGGCTCTGCCTCTAGATAGGCAGAGCCAGCTGTCACTCACGCAGCTGGGCGGATCTCGACATCGAGGTCGGGATACGCTCCGGCTGCGGCGGCTCAGTATACCGCGAGCTACAGGTATACTGAGCCTAGGGTGACGGGAGGACGCTAGTTTGTGTCCTCCCGTTACCCTAAGGAGAACTATGGGGAAAAGCCCTGACCCCATAGTTCTCCTTTAAAGGTTCTAATTTGAGAAGTAAAAAAAAAAAAAGGAGATAAAAGGCAGCTCTGTCTGATTCCAGTTTGTATTGGAGAGCTGAAAGGAAGCATACTAGTATCCTAAAGCCCAATTCCAGCTTGGGGGAACATAACATATTACATTGACACATTGATGTAAAGATACAGATACATAGGATAGAAAAGAGACACGTGTCTGTCAAGGTCAACCCAGAAGATTATATTTGTCTAGACTTTGTATCCTTTAAATCCTATATTTATTATTCATACTTTTTATGTTTGCATGTTCAGAAAACTTTCCACGGGGGTGGGGTGGGGTGGGGTGGGGGGGGTGTGCATTTAGACTGGCATAATGGATGCAATATACATCACTCCATGTCTACCCCTTCAAAGAACATCAAATAACATGCAAAAAACTTTTTACCTCACTTGGTTCTTCCTTTTTATGTCTCCATGCTTCTTTATTGCACCTTCCCATAAAACATTTTAACCACTTGCTGTCCGGGGCATTTTCTTACTATTTGCGCACAAAATATCGATTTTTGGCTAGAAAACAGCTTCAGACCCCCAAACAACGATCTATGTTATGAAAGCAGAGGCCATGTAGAATGAAAAAAAAAGCTAGTTGCAATTTTTTATGTCGCACGGTTTTGCCGCAAATGTTTATCAGACCCGTATTTTTAGGAAAAATAAACTAAATTAAAATTTAGTGCACAGAAACATAATATAATACCCTATTTTTTGGTAAAATATGAAAGTCGGGGTCACGTCATGACCAAACATGTCAATACCAAACATGTCAAGCCTTAAAATTGCGATCGCCCGTGAAGCCGCAAAAAAAGTTAATACCCCAAATTTCCCGTAGAGAACATTTTAAACGCTTTTACGGCTCATCATAGTTTAGTGCTAACAGTGATTGATGGCCGTATAATTATTGTTCTCACTCCAACGTTCGCGGCGATATGTAACATGTGTAGCCTAATTGTCGTTTTCGCATGTAGGCGCACCAACGCTTGTATGTGCGTGCACGTGGGGGGCGGGGGACTTTAAAAAAATTTTTTGCATTTTTTTC